AGAGGTTTGAAAGCCACCGGCAAAGCTTTGGGAAATGGCCTCAAAGATATTGCCGCGAAACTTGGTTCTCTACTGCCCGGGCTCATTGGCTTGATTGTGAGCTTCCTTTTCAAAGCAGCCGGCCAAGTCGTCGGGTTTCTGGCCGAGCACACCTGGCTTCTCATTCTTGCAGTGGTGGCCTTTTTGTTCGAACAATATTTTAAGAAGCAGCGTTAACTTTACCGCCAAGCCATGAACAGCAACGCCGATAATCCAACTACACCGAGAATGACAGCTGTTTTGTTTATTTCATGTTGCGGTGTTTTATCTGGAGCCGTGGACTCTATTTTTTGCACCGTTGGCTGTGCTTGCTGAGTTTCGGTCGAAGCTGATTTCCTTGATTCGGCTGTTCTGGCTTTGTGTATCAGGTTGGACAGATGGCTGTTGGGAGGATTAATTTTTGACGGGCCGCGTGCCATTAGTTTGAGCCCAGCTTTTTTTGTCCCCGGGTTTACCTCGTTGACCCCAAGTTTCATCCCGGAGACCGCCTGTTTCAGCTTGTTGTTGTAACCGATTGTGCTTGCGGTGTTTATTATCATTTGCGCGGGCATGAGCCAGGCCATGGGGGCAACAGCGAGATTGAGGCTGACCTTCGCTTGGTCCACCGCGAGCTGGTACCTTTGCACGCTCGCGGCCAATTCGGGCTGTCTGATCGCATCTTTCATCAACACCAGGAACTCGCTCTTGGCTTCTTTCGCCCGGCCACCTGAGCCGAGAATGCTGCTGCGGACGTTGACCTGCGCGCCTAGGACACAGTAAACGAAAGCCTTAATTGACTGGTTGATTCTCGACAAGCCCGCCTGCGTCAAACCATTCGTGGTGTTGGGCGCAAACCAGTCGAACTGTCGATCTCCAAAAACATTGGGCCGTATAAACTCAATAAGGTCCCCCTTAATCAGTTTTCCACCTTCGTCGCTAAACTTGTTCCACCCAGGATACTTATCTGTTGTTGTTGGCCATTCCCCCCAAGGCTTAACATACAACACCCCCAAACCACTATTTGCACCCGAAGTAAACCTAAAAGTCGCTTGATGAGTCTATTCCAAATTCGCCGCATATCCTTTTGTACGAAGCGACGTCATAATGATTGTTCATCTGGTCGAACGTTGGGTCTCCGGGCAAAGTGCTTATGCTCTGAACACCTCCAAGCTGGTACAAAATGCGCCTGACCGTGAAATAGACGTGGAATTTGTAGAAAGCTCTTATCTGCGGGGGGAGATTCATCCCGCTGTCAAAGATTTCGCGAGAAACTCCGCACCCCTGTTTCGTGCAGAAAACAGCAACGTTGAGCTGTTGCGGCCAATGTTTCACGTCAGGCCCTCCTAACCAGTGTTTTGATTCAGTTCCAGATGTGTGTTTGAGTTTGGTGTCTTGAAATATTTCTCTGAATTTCATTGTGAAATATTGGTCAGGCGTGACGTATATTTGGATTGCATCGTCGAATATTTTCTTCAAGCTTGGCGCTTTGCCGTCGAAAGGTACCGCAGGGATGG